ATTTAAAAAATTCTGAATTCTCTGTTATATTAGTATATTATTATTAATTAATGTATATTTACGTATATGTACTTATGCATATTTTTAAAAAAAGTATTAAATTAAATATACATAGTCCAACTATCCAATTTTTTTACTTTAATTATGAAGAAAAATTAAAATCTCTATTATATCCGAACTTTCGATTATCCGAACCTAGCCTTGCCTAGGTTAGTTCGGATAATCGAGATTTCACTGTATATAAATTTCTTAGAACTATATTTTTCAATTCTCTGAATATATTTGAATTCTTTGGAGAAACTTCATTAAAAAATTAAAAATAATTGAATTTCTGCGAAGAATTTTATTAATTTTGAAAATAATTGAATTCCTGTTAAATTTTTATTTAAATTTTGTTTAAATAATAGAATTCTTTTGGGAAATTTTATTAAAATAGTATAGATATTAATAATAATTGAAATGAGGGAAATTTTTGAAAATAATTGAAATTTTGTCAAGAATTTTATTAAAATTTTTCAAAATAATTGAATTTCGGAGGAGAATTTTATATTAGTATAGAAAAAGGGGAATATACTGTAAATAAAATTTTTTTTGTTTATAAAAAATGAAAATTTTTAAAAATATTTTTTTTTCTGAAAGCAAGAGAAGAAAATTTCTTTTGAAAAAAAATGTTTTTTATTTCAAATTGCACCAGTGTTCTATTAAGAAAATTTTTCATTTTTATACAGCATCCTCTTTATAAATGATAAAACACTTCAACAGAATAAATAATTAATTATTATCTTTATATATGAACAAAAATATTATACTAAAAGTGAAAATTTCAATTATACGAAAAAAATTGAACAAATGATGCAGATCTTTAGAATCTTCAAGCAAAGAAAGCCTTTTTAGACACATGAAGGGATGGCTGTAATAAATGAATGTCCTTCGACCGAATGTAAACCCGAACAATTCATTTTTTTCTCTATTGATTATATTTCTACTTGTCTAGCTTGACATATTATAAGCATTATGTTGCACGTGTTTTTCTTCTTTTTTTATTTTGGTCAAGATTAGATGAAAGCAAATCTTTCATTGCGTCATTGTCAGTAAATAATCTGAGACAGCAATGTTGTGAATACGTTGATCCTAGTGGATGGTGTAGAAAAGGGATTGCTCTAAGTAGAATATAACTCAGATCAGTGTCAAAAACAGGACAATCTTTTCGTATGAGAATGAAGAAAAAGTTAAAAAGAAAAATAGGACAAGTGAAAGAGAAAATAAAGACGGTTTCCATATATTTTCTCAATATCTCGATAATCCTCATGTTTGACAGATGCAAAACACTATTTTTATTCCTTGAAACTTCATCGCAATGAAGGTGTTTATTCAGTAGAATCAGTCGAAAATGATCAGACCTTCACCAAGAAGGGAGTTTTCTTACAATATTATGTAAGAACTATAAGGAACTTTTTCCAGAAAAAATTTACTTTTATGCACCAGGTTTTTGTGGATTCCCAAAATTTCTTATAAGAATATAAAATAAAAATTTTATTGTAAATTGTAAAAATTATATTGTAATTTTTGAATAACATACACTAAAAACAATTTATTTGATTCAAAATAACCGATTACTTGTCTGTTATCAAATAAATATTTCCTTGAATCAAAAAATTTTAATTTAAGTCAAGTAAATTTTATTTGAAACAATAATTTCTGTATTTGAAGCAAACACCAATAAATTGATTCAAATAAAAATTATGTGACTCAACGTAAATTTTTATTTGATCATAGAAAAGTGATTGGTTATTTGAATCAAATAATTTTTTTTCAGTGTACTTTTTAATAAATTTAACAAGTGCTCAATAAAAAATTTATATTTAATAAAATAAAATTTACTAATTAAGTAAATAATAATATTAATTAACATTATTATTATTATTATTATTATATTACTAATAATTTTATAAATATCATTATAGAATTATTATTATTATTATTATTATTATAAACAAAAAGAAAAATTAATAATTAATATTAATTGGTAAAATTTTTAATAATTATATTTTAGATTTCATCCTTTTATTAGTCTTGATTATTCTAATTAGAGAAAAAAGTAAAAAGTTTAGAAATATGAATTTTGATAGCTTTAATGTTTTTTTATATTTTAATTTCAATATTCAATTGTTTGACTATTAAATTATGCAAAACTAAAACTAAAACTTAATTTTTCTTTACACGTTATTATTCATTACTTTTAATTTTGTAGAATTCGTCAATTTTTAGTTAAAATTAAATAAAAATTTTATTTTTTATTTTCAAACTTAATTTCAATTTTTTATTCGTAAATATAATTTTTCTTTTTAATCTTAAATTAATTCTTAATTTATGTAATAAATTTAATTTAAAATTTTTAAAAAAGAAAGAAAGAATTTATTTTAAATTTCAATTTTCTTTAAATTAATACACTGAAAAAAAATTTAATTGATTCAAATAACCGATTAATTGACTATTATCAATTAAATATTTAATTGAATCAAATAATATTTTAAAAAATCAATTAAACGGTATTTGAATCAATAATTTCAGTATTTAAAGCAAATACCATTAAATTGTCTCCAATAAATATTATTTGATTCAATTAAATATTTAATTGATAATAGTCAATTAATCGGTTATTTGAATCAATTAAATTTTTTTTCAGTGTACTAATAAAATATCAATAATAAAAACAATGAATACTAGCATCTCAGATGTAGAATCGATTAAAATTCAGAATCAAAATCAAAATAATAACATTAGTAATGATAAAACCTTTAATAATTTATTATTTTGAAAACTGATTTTTATATTAAAAATTACAATAAATAATAATTTATAATTTGAGGTTATGAAATCAAATTTTATATATAGAAGGGTGACGTTATAAAAAATAAAATAATATAATAAAAAGTAAATGTACTGTAAAAATACATAGTACATTTACAAAGAGATACATAGGAAATTTACACCAAGAAATATGTAAATTGAAATATTAATAGTAAATTTACTACTTTAAAAATGTTGTAAATTCACTAAAAATATTTATATTGTGTTGACACAGTCTTTTCGATGTTTCTAATACTGTAAAAAATATTCTGAAAGCACTTGGAGGCAAAATTTAAATAAATTTTAGAAAAATGAAAATAAATAAATAAATACAAAATACAGCTGAAATTTCGTCAATTCAGACTATTTTTAGATTTTAAATAACAGAAAAAATCTGCAAACTTGGTAATGGGCGATGGGCGCAAAGTGCTCATTTTTTGATGATTTTGATAGACAGCAAAAATATTGTAAATTATCATAAAAAAATAAGACTCACGTATAAAAACTGTAGACAAAATACTTATTTTTCTCGACCAAACACGTAGAATCCAAAAACACTTCACTTTTCAAAGCAGATTTATGAATATCCGACAGTAATTGACAGTAAATAGTAGAACTTTTTGGTTAGACATCTTGTGAATTGACAAACATAAGTGGTGCCAACTGTAACAAACATGATCAAACTCCATGAGTGCCAACAACCGAAATAAAAATTGCTAAATGGCGCTAAATTAAATAATTATTGAACAAAACTGACCAAATTATTACAAAATTTAATTACTTTCAATATTTTTAGAAACTCTTTTTATATAAAAAATTTTTTATTTTATTATATACCTGAATTCTTTCATTCAGATTATTTTCACATTAGAAATGAGAGAAAAATGATATTATGCACAAACAACTCATTTTTATGAGCAGCAAAAATTGCACAAAAATGTGTAAAATATAGTGAAAAACTAACACTTACATATAATAACTATAGACAAACTACTTATTTTTCCCAAAAAAAGCACGTTATATGAAAAAAATTTCTATTTTTCTAACTTGATTCATGAAAATCCGACAATTATTGACAATGATTAGTAAAACTTTCAGGTTAGACATCTTGTAAACTGACAAGCATAAGTGTTGCCAACTGCAACAAACATGATGAATGCCAACCACTTAAATCAAAATTAACTAATGACCCTAAATTAACAAATTACTAGACAAAAGCGACCATAATATGAACAGATTTATATAAATTTCATTATTTTTATAAATTTTATTACTCTAAATGCTCCAAATAAGGGAGAATTATAAATATCCTCTAAATGCTAATAATATTGTCAAATTTACACCATATTCAGTATATTACTATATATATAGTACATATTAACACACATGTCATATTTAGTATTTGTAAAAATAAATTTAAGTGAAATAAAAAGATTAATTGATTAATTAAAGAAACACTGATGAAATTTCTCTAATTGTGGTTATTTTTACATTAGAGATGAGAGAAAAAACCAAGGGAACGAAATGATGTACATAAGCATCTCATTTCGATGAGCAGCAAAAATGATACAGAAATATATAAATTATCATTGAAATATTAATACTTACATATGTAAAAACTGTAGAGAAATAATTACTTTTCTTGAACAAACACGTAGCATCTAAAAAATTGGCACTTTTCGATGTTGATTTCATGAAAATTCGACATTAATTGTCAGCGATGCGAAGAACTTCCAGGTCAGACATCTTGTGAACGGAGAAGCTTCAGTGGTGCCACCTGCGCGAAGCTTAATCAAACTCCATGAATGCCAACCGCACTTAAATGAAAGTTCGTCATTGGCGCTAAATTTTAAAATTATTGAGCACTATTGTCTATAATATATGACAAAATTGATATATTAATATAATATTAATGAAAAAATATAACTTTTAATATTTTTAAAAATTTTATTATACAGCATAAGGGAAAATCATAACTACTCTCTAAATGCAATTAATAATAATTCACTCGGCATCTGGTAATACAAAGTCATGCAATGATACCAACACAGAGAATTAAAATGTTTAACAAAGCAAACAACTCGACAGTTGGCAATTTGCTCATTTGAATCACTTGAAGTTTGTCGTTTACTCATTTTTATTCTGGTTCAGAACTCAAGGACGACAGTTACAAAATTAACAAGCCAAGTTTTTTCTCCGTAATTTATAAGTAAATATTAATCAGATTATTACTCTTAAAACCTATTAATTAATCTTAATTAAAGCCTTTATCTGCAATTCAGTAAATATTTCAACCTGCATAAGCGATTTTTGCCAAAATCGCGAAACTTTTTTTACAGTGCGATACTCGGCGCACTTAACCTTAAAAAATGAAATAAAACGCCAATTGCACCAAAAGTTTAATGAAACATTAAAGTTACGCTATATAAATTTTGTAATTAAATCCATTTTAAATATTAATTAAAAAATTCGTACCAAAAATTAATTATTAATAGAAAGTATAAATGGTATAAATTAATTAAAAATTTTAATAATACCTCCTAAAAGTTGTTTTAGTCATTGAATCATGGAGAGTATGAATTATTAACATCCGAGTATATAGAGATGGTTTTAATTAATCGATAGTTATTAGTATTCCATAAAATGAATAATAATGCTAATAAAAAAATTTGATAATAGTTATAAATTACAGGTGGTAATAAAGAGAGAATTAATATTGTTTGGGTCAATAGTAAACGTGAGTGAACTCAAGAATAGATTAGACGTGAAGTGTAAAACTATTATTGATTTACGGTTGAGCCATTTTCTTTCATACTATGTGGAATAATTCAATATTTTATTTTCTAGCAATTACACGCTCGATTACTGGTTAGTAAGGAGAGAGAGAGAGAGAATATTTTCCATTTTGTGAGGTTTGCTGACCTTAGGATGCCACGGAAAGGCACTTTTACTCTCATATGGACATCAGAACGACAGTGAAAGTCACGCGAGGTAATATTTTTTACTCTACTTACTGACTTTACCAAAACTTGTACACAATTATCAAAAATCTTTATAATTTTTTCTAATTTGTAAAATTTTTAAATGTTTAAGTATTTTTGTATACTTTTTTTGTTTTATTTTCCAGAGAAAATATTTTTATATTCTAAACAAATATTCGAAAGTTTATTCAATTAAATATTTAGTTTCTAATTAAAATTTTCCTTTATTCTTCATGGAAATCTAAATACAAACATTGTGCACTGTACGAGCAATATAATTAAATCAGAATATAAATTTTGTCCAGGAAATATTTTACCTCGAATAACTAATTTAGCAGATAGTAAATAAAATTTCGAATTCCTTCTATTTATCCGCAAATAAATTTCTTTTAAATTAACGGTATAGTGAATAAATGCGTTTTTCGATCAGATGTCATGCAATCTCATCAGTTGTAAAGTAGGAATCACATCCCTTTTGGTAAAATTGCAGTGCAATTGCATTGACAACGTTGCTTTGAATTCAAAAAGTTCTCGTCAACAATGAATGGGAAAAAAAGTCCATTCTCATTTTACAGTGATACTGTTAACGTAACAAAAGCATCGAGAACATTCCGATACCATTTGCGCAGACAATTCATTTCATTCTATATAATTAATTGAACTTCTCATAATTTATTTTTTACGTACACAATAATTTTGAAAAAGAAATAATTATTTTCTATCTTTTTCATATTTGATGCAAAATTCTTTTTAATTATGTTATCAATTTTGTAAACAGAATTCATCAAATGAGACTAAAAAGTATTCTCTCGATTCTCTCAACAGAGTTGCCACAGGTCGGGAGAAATTTTCCAAAAGAATTCAATTATTTAAAAAAAATTTTTGATCAAATTCTACTCAAATATTTAATTATTTTCATAAATAATACAAATTTTACAGAAATTCAATTATTTACAAAATGTTCATAAATTTCTTCCTGATAATTCCATTATTTCAATTATTTTTAATACAATTTTAATCAAATTTCTCGAAAAATGTAATTATTTAAAAATTTATTATTAAATTTCTTTCCCAAAATTTCAACTATTTTCAGGAATTAAAAAAAAAAGTTCATTGAAAAATTTAATTATTTTCATAAATTTATTATAATATTCATGACAAGAATTTAATTATTTTCAAAAGTAATAAAAATCTTCGCAAAAATTCAATTATGTTCGAAAATTTTTTTTAAATTCTCTTTATAATTATCCAATTATCTTTTTTAAATAGCAAAATTCTCCGCCGAAATTTAATTATTTTTAAAAAATTCTAATAAAATTCATCGGCATATTTTAATTATTTTCACAAATTATTCTTAATTCAATGATTTTCAATATCCTACTATTTTAATAAAATTTCCCAAACGAATTCAATTATTAAACAAAAATTTTGATAAAATTGTACAAATTGTTTTTTTTTTCAAAAAAAAAAAAAATTACACAGGACTTCAATTATTTAAAATAGAATTTGCATAAATTTTTTCCAAAAAATCAATTGTTTTAAAATTTTGCATTAAATTATTCGCAGTAATTCAATTATTTTTATAAATTTTAAAATTCCTTTCAGGAATTTAACTATTTTTATAAATAAAATAAAATCATCTGGAGGAAGTCAATTATTTACATAAATAACAATTTTCATCACAAGAATTCAATTATTTTCAAACTTTTTTTAAAAATTAATTGCAAAATTTCAATCATTTTCAAAAATTTTTCTTAATTCAATAATTTACATATCTATTATTTTAATATAATTTCTCAAAAGAATTCTAGTATTTTAAAAAAATTTTAACAGAATTCTACACGAATATTCAATTATTATCTAAATTCATGAAAATTTCTAGAAATTCAATTATTAAAAAAATTTTAATTCAATTTTTATTAAATTTCTCGAAAAATAAAATTATTCTTAAAAATTTTATTAAAATTCGTCAAAAGAATTGAATTCAATGAATAATTGAATTCTCGTAGAATTTTCTAATAAAAATTGATTTAAAATTGAATTTCAGTTAAAATTTTAGATAATAATTGAATTTTGTAATGGTTTTAAATTAAATTCTTTGAAAATTTGAATTTTTCATATTTTTAATTAAAAATTCTATGAAAATTAATTTTTTTCAAAAAAGCTTAATTGAAATTTTTTAAAATTATTTTAAGTTTTTATTTTCAAATGTAGGTATATATTTATAATTAAAGAATTTCCGAATAATCGAAATTTCGTAAAATTTAATTGTAAACAAATAAATTTGAAAATTCTCAAAAGAACTTTATCAAAAATCATTAAAAATAATAATATTCTTATTTAAGTTGTTGAATGTGAAAATTTTAAAATCTTAATTCCCATGAAAAAATAATAATTAAATATTTATTTAAAAATGAAGTTATTGGTGTTTTTGAATAATTTTACAATTAAAGAAATTCGTAAATGTAATAGAACATTTTTTTGAGTATCAAATAATTTTTAGAGTGAATCAAAATATTCTTTAGGTTCAGGGAAAAAGTCAAAATTTTGTCTGAAATTCAGGGATAAGTTAGGGAAAAACAAAATTAAATTTTTGTGACAACCCTATCTCAATTCTTTCAAATAATTCGAAATTTTAATATTGTAACTGTCGGCGTAAAAAATCTAAGAATTTATATCTAATTTTGATTGTATATAATATAATTTGTAATTTAAACATGAAAAGTAAAAGAAAAAAATGATGCAGATGAAAAGGAAAATTCGATTAAAATTTGCATATTATGGGGGGTCTACTCTAATTATTTATTCGGCACATAATCCATCAAATTGTGAAAGTTCTTCTTATGTCAAGTATTACCTGTTTGTCTCTCGCGTGTGATTATGTAAACATAGAAAAAGTTCGCGACGTTTGATCTAAGAAAGTTTCTTTGCAAGATTCATTCGAAAGATTATTAAGAGACTAGTAAAATTAAAATAAATCTACATTTCATGATTTCGATAAAATAACATAGCATTTGTTTATATTAAACTGAATTGTAATAAAATAAATTCGACACTCTTTGAGTATATTATGAATTCGACGCACTCTTTGAATTTTATTATTTTCTTCGTTATTGCTGCGCTGCTTTATTATAATTTGACAAAAATTATTATTATACAGAGTTTGATTAATATTTCTTTCTTTATATTGCATCATTCTGCAATTGTAAGAGATAATTTCTTACGAAACATTACGCCCACTCAGTATGCAGATTGCTATAACCAAAATGATTAAAAGACTCCGCTAACAATACTCTCTTCCTTATAATACTTTCTCTCCAACTTAACCATATCCGTATATTTTTACGTCAGCTAACAATATCATCATTCCTCTGAATGCAAATTTTATCGCCACAATATCTCAGAAAAAAGAATTTTTAATTTAAATTTTCCACAAAAAAAAATGTCCACGTAAATTTTTTTCGTTTAAAATTTCAATTTTCTTAAATCATTTTTTGACAGAAATGAAAAAATAAGAAAATCTTTATTTTTAATTAAAAAAGGCATTAATTTTTCGAGTACGCAATTATTTTTCTCAAACAGTAGATAATAATTTTACATAATTATTTTGAAAATTTTAATTATTTTATAAATTTTATTAATGTTATTAATTTTTTCAATTTCAATAATTTTATTTATTTTACAGATTTTTGTACAACTATTAATTTTAGTGAGGAAAAATCCAAATTAATATTTAGTATTCAATTGGATAATTAACACAGTGAAACAAGTAGCAATGCTGATTATCCACAGATATAAAATAGAGTCACGACATTGTATACAAATATTGTGGGGGGATAAAAATTCCGTGAACTTATTAAAGCACAAATTATGCTGGGATAATTTATCTTGTAGTGCATCAAAGTGAAGGCAACTGAGGTAGATTGTTGTTGAGTAAAAATAAATAAAGAGAAAAAAAAATCTCTGTTTCAAGGATTCAAAGTTCTCTAGCTTCTTGATATAATAATTGTTGTCTTCATTCACACACAATTCTTACTTTCAAAATCCATTATGCTAAATTACTTTCTCTGCATAGTTACAAAATAAATATCGAAAAAAAGGCACAAACATTAACAAACTATTATTATTATTTTATTTTTTAATGATTCTTTTATTAAATTAGAAATTTTTTTTAATTTGAAAATAATTGGTAATTTCTGACAGTTTGTAAATTAAATATAATTAGCAAAACAATCGAATTGGAAATAACATTTTGTAATTCAGTATATAATCAGCAATTTTATTAACAATGATTAGCAATTAAATTCGAAAATCAAAATTTGAAATTAAAATTGAAATAAAAAAATTTTTAATTCAATTTATAATTATATATCGCAACAATATTTTATTAGCAATTATTATCGATTATTTGCAATTGAATTGAAAATACAAATTTTTAAAATTAAATTCACAAATATAAAATTTAAAAATGTTAAAAAACGAAAGCGGAAATAAATATTTTGGAAATTATATTCAAATGGAATTAATGTTTGATGCAAGTTGATCTTGGCCTTAGTAGACCGTGATTTAATCATACAAGGTCTATCAAATCAGTGGACCGATCAATCTTTTCCTTCGAACTCTAGTCAAAGATGATTAATAGAGACAACTTTGTAGAAAAAAAAGATACAAATCTAATACGATGACCATTGTTTTGAGAAAAAAATAAAAAATAATAAAAATGTTTACTGTAAAATAGAAAAAATAACTTGTAATCATAAAATCGCATTAAATAAATAGAGAGACGAATAAAGACATCGATCCGATTGGCAAATAAATCGAAAGTAAGAGATTTAGTGGATTATGTCATTAACGAGAACTTCGTTTTCGCATACTCTCCAATTTTCGAGTGGAATTTTTTTACACTCAGTAATTATTCTTTAACTCTATTAGAGAGATAATTGAGAATTTTCTATTAGAAAAAATTGTATTAATTATTATTATTAATTAAAAATTGTCTATTTTTATATTTCTTATCTTATTTAATTAATTTTAATTTATATGATAGTAATTAACAAATATCTATTTATTTGATTATCTACATTTTTTTAAGTAATTTTAATATTATAAATATTAAATAATATTAATATTAGTACCTAATAATTTAATAAATTAGAATTCTAATTTTTATTGTAATTTCAGGTTTCAAAAATATAAGAAAATGGTTCAAATTATCAATTTTCCAAAGAAAACGGATTCAACTGTCAATTCAAGGAGAAAGATGTCAACTCCCTGAGTTCTTCGATTCATCATCGCATTGGCTACTTAATTATTTTTTTTTACATGTAAGTACTGCTGGAAAAGATTCATAACAGTAATTATTTAATTATATATTTAATTTCAAAAGTTTTATAAAAGAGTAGACATCAACATTAATTTGATACTTTTAATTCCAAAAATTGATTTAAAATATTTAAATATTTATTAGGAAAAATATTAATGAATAATTTTCATTCAGGGTTGCCACAGGGAATTCAGGGAAAAGTCAGAGAAAGTAGAATTGGTCAGGGAAGTCAGGAAAAAGTCAGGGATTTTAATTAAAAGTACTAGAAAAATTAAATTTTTAGAATTCATAAGAAAATTCTGAATTTATGTCTTTTTTGTTTGCCTCATAAACTATGAAACTGACACTAATTCTATGTATAAAACCTTCAAAAATTTTTTTATTTCTGACAAGAATGAATTTTTCAATATTATTTAATTATTAAAGTTTTAAAGCAACTATCTTAATAAATAACAAAATTCTTCACAAAAAATCAAAAATTTTTAGGAATTTTAATAAAATTCTTTACAAAATTCAATTATTTTCATGAATAATAACAATATTTATCCCAAGAATTCAATTATTTTCAAAAGTAATAAAATTCTTCGAAGAAATTCAATTATTTTTAAAAATTTTAATGAATATCTCGTCAAGAATTCAATTATCTTTACAAATAGCAAAATTTTTCGCCAAAAATTCAATTATTTTCAAAAATTTAAATAAAATTTTTTGAAAAATTTCAATTGTTTTCAAAACTTTTTCGCAATTAAATAATTTTCAAAAATGTACTTTTTTCATAAAATTTATAGAAAGATTTAACTATTGAAAAAAATTTTTGTTACAATTCTACGAAATTCAATTATTTTTATAATTAAACAAATTTCATTTAGGAATTCAATTATTTTCATCGCAGAATTAAAAACATTTCTAATACAATTTTAAATAAATTCCTTGAAAAATGCAATTATTATTAAAAATTTTATTAAAACTTGAGGAAAGAATTCAATTTTAAGAAATATTCAATTATTCAATAAAATAATAAAATTAGTTGCTATATAATTTAAATGTTTTCATAAATAACATTTAATTCGTTGCAGAAAATCAATTATTTTCAAAAAATTTTCAGTAATTCTGCAAAAGAACTCAATTAGCTTGATAAACAACAAAATTCTTCCCGTAAAATCAATTATTCTAAGGAATTTTAATCAAATTCATTTCCAAAATTCAATTATTTTGATAAATATCAAAATTCATCACAAGAATTCAATTCTTTTGGAAAATAATAAAATACTTTGCAGAAATTAAATTATTTTCAAAATTCTTAAAAAATTTTCATCAAGAATTAAATTATCTTTATAAATTAATAGCAAAATTCTTTTCAAAAATTAAATTATTGACAAAAATTTTAATTAAATTTATTTAGAAATATTAAAAAATTTATAGATTTTTGAAAAATTTTATAATTCAAATTCTTCTAAATTTAGTTAAATTTTTGAGTATATTTAATTTAATAAAATTTTAGTCAAATTCCTCGAAAAATATCATTATTCTTGACAATTTTTTTAAAATTCATCGAAAAAATACATTTATTTAAAAATTTGTTGACAAAATTCTTTATGAAAATTCAATTTTAAGAAACATTCAATTATTGAATAAATTATTTATTTTTGTATTTAAATAATTGAATTCTCGTAGAATTTTCTGAAAAAAATGATTTAAAAATGAATTTCAGTTAATAATTGAATATTTAATGCATTATAGCGTGAATTTTTAGAAATAATTGAATTTTAAAAAGGGTTAAAATTAAAATCTTTGAAAATCTGAATTTTTCATACTTTCAACTAACAATTCTGCAGAATTAATTTTTTTGAAAAAGTTTAATTGAATTTTTTTAAAATTATTTGAATTTTATTTTCTAATATAACAGTTAATTGAAGAATTTCCAAAGAATCGAAATTTTTCGTAAAATTGAATTGTAAACAAATGGATTTGCAAATTCTCAAAAGTACTTTTTAAAAAATTATTAAAGATAATTGATTTAAAGAAGAATTTTAGTTAATAATTCTAGAAAATAATAATTGCATTTCAAATTTTTGAAAATCTTAATTGAGGCTCCGGATCTTAAAAGGGCACTTTCCGCATAGACTTTACATGGTGAAAGTGCCCTTTTAAGATCCGGAGCCTCAATTCCTATGGAAGAATAATAATAGTTAAATATTTATTTTAAATAAAGCTATTCATGTTTTCGAATAATTTTACAATTATTTTGAGAGTGAATCAAAAGATTCTTTAGTCAGGGAAAAAGATAGAATTTGTCTGGAAATCAGGGAAAAACAAAATTAAATTTTTTTGGTAACCCTGACATTGTTTTCCAATTTTTACCAACATTACGAATTTTGTATTTTTGCTTTAAATTAAATCGACACATTGTTGAAAAAAAGTAATAAAGAAATATTTGTTTAATAGCAAATATTGACAAAAAAAAATTGTCATTCGAAAAAGGGAATTTTTCATTAAAAATGAATTTGAATAGTTACTTACATATGTACATATATAAACAAATACATTTTTATAAATAACAGATTCATATTCAAATATTTATAATCCATTTTCAGAATTAAAAGCATTAAACAAATGTTGATATCCAGTAGATATAAAATGTAAAAAATCTTTTATCAATCTAAAACGGATTTTGCAAAAAAATATTATTGAAAAAATATTGAAATATGAAATATTATTAATTCAAAAGCGAGTGAAATTAATTATTGAAATAATTTGTAATTGTATGTAGAATTTATATTTTTTATTGCAGAAAAAAAAGGATTAAATTCTTTTACACGATAGAGATTTTGTTATACGATAGAGATATAAAATTTTCCTTGAAATATAAATCTCTGTGTCGACTCTTTGTAAATGTATCTCTCTTTTTCAATTATACTAGCATTGTCAAATTACAATGATATTAATTGCAATGATTTTGATGTCTTGAGGGTTACGAAATTTTTTAAAACCCTTTCTCACGCGTCAATAAGTGCGGTTTGAAGATGAAAAAGAAAAAAAAAGTATATATACGATTGGAAAAAAAGCAAAACTGTATAATTGTAATTGTATGCATGTTCGTGTTGGCATATCATTGGCACATGTTTTATACACACATATGTGCAATAATATTGTGCGCAGGTCAAGGAGTTCAAGTGAAAGTATTAAATATCAGCGGCCCGTGGATCGATAGATCTCCAAGCTCTGCGATGTTCTTTGCTCTAAACACGGAGCAGCATTGCATCGTATACAAGTGAGACGTTTGTTTTCCTTTTTACTCTCGCCAATTGGGATGAAAAAAATGAATTACAATTCTTACTTACGACAATAATTATTTGAAAAAAAAACTATTCAATGAAAAGAAAAGAAATTCTTTCAAAAGAATTTTGTTAATATTTGGTAGAAATAATTTTGTTGGAAAAGGAATCAAATGAAAAAAAATTGAACGGAAGACAATTTTCAATGACGAAGTAAATATTCAATCAAATTGAATAACGTGCACGTTTTGTTAATTATAAAAGAAATTTTTCCAACTTTTTTTGTGAATGGAAAAAAATAAGGAAAATAACGCAAAGAAATGATTGACAAAGACGTTTTCTTCGGGATCTGTTAAAAAAAAAAAACTTTAATGAAGTTTTTAATTGTGTCTTGAGAAAGATTACTACAAGAACAATGAAGAAGGCACTGAAGGAAATAATTGAAGAGTAAAACAAGCAGAAATCTTAACGCTTTACAAGATGACGTGACACATTCACTCTTCAATAAGAGTTCTTGTACGATAAAGAGATTAATTGACTTCTGTAACAGAAAACGGAACACGAAAAAATCCCCTGTTGATAATAAATAATCTTTGACATCAATTTCTTTATAATTAAATTAATTTTTTATCACTTGTGTAGTCATTTTGTTAAAATTAGAATTTTTCCATCACAATTAATTCTTTGACAGGGAATTTAAAGAAATTTTCATAATTTTTTGATTTTTAAAAGTGGTTTTTGTATTAAAATTTCTTGAAATAATTGCAGACCTCGGATATTATGACTCTTTCGACTATTTTCCAAAAATGAGACTTTTTTAATTTATTTTCGAAAAATTTGGACTGTTTCAACTTTTCTTCCAAAAAATTGCAACAAAATACAATAAATTTTAATATAAAATGCAACTTTTTTCGATTTTTATACTGCGTAAAAATAACTATAGACAAATCTTTCAAAAAATTGTTTTTGAATCATTTTTCTAAATAAATTTTCGAAATATACAATTAAAATGATTTTGAATAGATTGAAATTTTGTAAAATTTAATTGAGAATAATTCATTTTATTCAAGTATCTTATTTTAATTTTTGAAAACCAACTTTTGAAGAATTTTAATATACAAATTTTTAAATAAATTGAATTATTAAGGTTATGTTATTCAGTGGTCACGTGCCCCATGTACTTTACTATGGAAAAACGTCACACTGAATAACATGCCCTTAACAATTTTAATGAAAAATCTTGAAATGTAAATTTAAAAATAAAAATTAGCTTCCAATAATTGTGTACAAAATATTTTTGAAATAATAGAATCGCTATTGCCCTAAAAAAGTAATTCTTAGAATATTTTTCATTCTAATTTTTTAAAATTAAAATATTTTCATAATAACATTAGAATTTTTCAGAATTATTTTGAACATTTTAGAGAAAACTACCATGTCCAAAAAAAACTTTCAATAAAATTCTTCAAAAAATTAATACAAAAATTCTCTTGAGAAATTCAATTATGTTCAAAATTTTTTTAAATATTTCGTCCAAATTTCAAGTATTTTTATAAATAATAAAAATTTCACAGTAATTCAATTAAATTTACAATTTTTTAAAAAATTTCTTCTCAATAATACAATTATTTTCATAGACAAAATTTTTTACATGTAGTCAATTATTTTCATAAATAATAAAACTCATCGCAGAATTTCAAATATTTTTAATACAATTTTAATTTAAATTCTGTTGAAATTAGTTGAATTTTTAATATGTATTATTTATTATTATTTCCAACATTTTAACACAATTCTTCGAAAGAAATCAATTATCTTGATAAATATATCAAAATTCTTCCCAAAAATCAAGAGTACTAAAATTCTTTTCAAAAATTAAAAAAAAATTCTCTTCATGATTTTAATTATCTTTATAAACATCATAATTAATTCTTCACTGAAATTCAATTATTTAAAAAAATTTTAATAAAATTCTACGCAAACATTCAATTATTTTCATAAATAATAAAAATTACTCAGGATTTCAATTATTTACAAATTTTTTATACATTTTTTCGCAATAATTCAATTATTCTTATAAATAATAAAACTGTTTTCAGGAATTTAATTATTTTCATAAATAATAAAATTCATAGCAGGATTTTAATTATTTTTGATACAATTTTAATCAACTTCCTCGAAAAAAGTAATTATTCTTAAAATTTTTATAAAAAAATCGTTAAAAGAATTCAATTACTTAAAAATTTGTTGATAAAATTCTTTATTTTAACAAACATTCAATTATTCAATAAATTATTTTATTTTTAATTTAAATAATTGAATTTTTTTAGAATTTTCTAATAAAAGTTAATTTAAGAATGAATTTTTAAATCATCCATTTATTATTTATGAAAATAATTGAATTATTACAACGAATTTTATAACATTTTTTTGAAATATTTGAATTCTTTTGAGAAATTTTACTACTAGTAAAAATAATTGAATTCTTGTGAAGGATTTTATTAAGATTTTTGTAAATTAATTCTTATTTATGTTTTACAATAAAATTTTGATAAGTTGTTAATTTCAATAGGTTTAAATTAAAAATTGTTTAAAATCTTAATTTCTATGAAAAAATAATAATGATTAAATATTTGTTTTTAATAAAACTACTGATGTTTTCGAATAATTTTACAATTAACGAATTTTGTAAATAAATGTAATAGAATTTTGAGTATTTAATAATTTTTAGAGTGAATCAGAATATTCTTTAGGGTCAGGGAAAAAGTCAAAATTTTGTCTGGAAATCAGGGAAAAATAGAATTAAATATTTGAGGCAACCCTGATTATACTTTATTAATTTTAAAACAACGAACACTTACAGTTACAATTATTATAAAAAATTGAATTTTTGTATTTAAATAATTGAATTCTCAAAGAACTTTTCGAAAATTACTGAAAATAATTGATTTTGAGATGAAGTTTAGTTAAAAATTGTCAAAAATAATTGAATTTTTGAAGAGTTATAGTTGTAATTGTTAGAAGCTATTTAATTTCAGAAGGTTTTAAATTAAAATGTTTTTAAGTTTATTTCCTGTGGAAAAACAAGAAGTATTTAAATATTTATTTAACAAAATTATTCAAATTTTAAATAAATGAATTTAAAAATCAGTGACTTGTCAAGGAAATACAAAATAAAATTTTTATGACTACATTGGATGAAAGAAACGACTTTTTTCTATTTTTAATCGACTAAAGCAACTTTTTTCTGCCTTAAAATTGATCCAAAGCCTGTAATTGTTAAAAAAAAGTAAAAATCTTGCTAATTACTTAAAGTTATCTATTTTTGCCAACAAACAAAAAATTCAATTTCTTGATTTGATTTGAACTATTTTTTACTGTGCAAGATTTAAAAATATCTTTTCGTATTTAATTTTAATTCATAATTATAATTTTCTGTAATAATTTCAGATTCGAAAAATATGAGGAAAACACGATTCAACCATCAACTCAAATATCATCACTCCAAGGAGAAAGATATGTCAACTCCCATATGTTCTCCAATTTATCATCGCCTTGGGTACTTCTTTTTTTTACATGTAAGTACTTGCAAAGAAATTTTTCAAATTTACATGAAATTTTACAAAAGTTTTCCCCTGGAAAATACTTGGAATTGTAAATTCAGTTTCTTTTCTAGAAATCCAGCTATCTAGTTCTGTGAAAAAAAAAATTGTCTCATCATGTAATATGTTTCTCAACAAGATTTTTCTGGAGTAGCTGACTTTTTTCATTTTTCTATTCCCCAAGGAATTTGTCAACATCTTCTTTTATTCCAATAGAATTGTTTCATAACTCCTATAAATGTTAATCAGAGAAACTTTGCTGAATCAAATTGAGAGGAAAATGTATAATCGAGATAAAAAGAAATCAGGGAAAAAGAAGCGAATGGAAATATATAAACATGAAGATCGAATTTTTAAATTCAATTTCAAATCAATATCAAAGAGTTTCATTAATAAACAGGGTTGCCACAGGTCAGAGAAATCAGGGAAAAGTCAGGGATTTTTATTAAAGCAATGGAAAAAATTGAATTTTGGAGAAGTTATACAAATGATAGAAATTCAATTATTTTCAAAATTAATAAAATTCTTCTCAGAAATTCAATTATGTTCAAAAATTAAAAAAAATTCTCGTCAAAATTCAATTATTTTTAAAAATAATAAAATTCTTCTCCAAATTTCAATTATTTTCAAAAATTTTAATAAAATTCTTTGCGAAATTTCAATTATTTTCAAAAAATTTTTCTTAATTCAATGAATTTCAATATCTACTATTTCAATAAAATTTTTTAAAAGAATTCAATTATTTAGAAAAATATATTAATAAAATTCTAAGCAAACATTAAATTATTTTCATATATAATAAAAATTTGACAGGAATTCAACCAAAATTTACAAATTTTTTAAAAAATTTCTTCGCAATAATTCAGTTATTTTCATAAATAATAATATTTTTTTACAAAAATTCAATTATTTTCATGAATAATAAAACTCATCATAGAATTTCAATTATTTTTAATAAAATTTTATTATAATTCCTCGAAAAAATTCAATTTTTTTGTTAAATTATGATACTTCAATTTCGAGAAACATTCAATTATTCAATAAATTATTTATTTTTTTATTTAAATAATTAAATTCTAGTAAAATTTTCTAATAAAAATCAATTTAGAAATGAATTTCAGTTAAAATTTTAGATAATAATTAAATATTATAAATCATTATAGCATGAATTTTAAAAAAATTTTGATAATTGAATTCTTTCAAAAAATTTACTTAAAATTGTATTAAACATAATTGAAATCCTGTGAAGAATTTTATTAATTTATAAAGTAATTGAATTCTTGCAGAACTTCAATTATGTTCAAAAATTAAAAAAAATTCTCTTCAAAATTCAATTATCTTTAAAAATAATAAAAAATTTTAATTAATTTCAAAAATTTTAATAAAATTCTTTGCCAAATTTCTATTATTTTCAAATAATTTTTCTTAATTCAATGATTTTCAATAACTATTTTAATAATATTTTTGGGAAAAAATCTAAAATTATAGAAAATTATCAAATATTCAAAAATCTGAATTTCTTAAAATTCAACATTTTTTCCTCTCTTTTATGGGATTTAGCTTCATTATTTTTGTGCTCTTGGAAAATACTTTACTTATTAAATAGTCTCGACTCTTTGGTAAAAAATCGAAAATTATCGAAAATTATCAAAAATTCAAAAAAGCGAATTTCTTAAAATTCAACATTTTTTCCTCTCTTTTATGAGATTTAGCTTAATTATTTTTGTGCTCTTGGAAAATACTTTACTTATTAAATAGTCTCGACTCTTTGGTAAAAAATCTAAAATTATCAAAATTCCAAAAAACCGAATATCTTAACATTCAACATTTTTTCCTCTCTTTTATGAGATTTAGCTTCATTATTTTTGTGCTTTTGGAAAATACTTTACTTATTTAATAGTCTAGACTCTTTGGTAAAAAATTTAAAATTATAGAAAATCCGAAAAATCGAATTTCTTAAAATTCAACATTTTTTCTTCTCTTTTATGCCATTTAGCTTTATTATTATTTGAATTTCTATTCAAGAGAAAAAATGGAAAACAGAAAAAATTTAGAAACTTTTAAATATTCCAGGCCTTTTCCATGATTTCCAGAAGCCTTTTAAAAATTCCATACTATTTCCATGATTTCCATGATTTCCAGATTCTGTAGGAACCCTGAATTGAATTAATGTGAAAAATTTTATTAATTGTAAAAATAATTGAATTCCTGCAACGAATTTTATTACATTTTATTTTAATAATTAAATTCTTTTGAAAACTTGTATTAAAAATGTAAATTTTGAAAATTTTTGAATTTCAGCGAAGAATTTCATTATTTGTGAAATGTGCCTAATTTAATTCTTGCAAAACATTTTTGAAGATAATTTTATTTTTCGAGAAATTTATCTAAAATTGTATTAAAAATAATTGAAACCATGTGAAGAATTTTATTATTTATGAAAATAATTGAATTCTTGTAACGAATTTTATTATAATTTTTGTAAATAATTTAATATTTTTTTTGGAAAAATGTTATGGAAATTAAAATTTTTATAAAACATGAAGATATCAATTACTCCTCGGAGTGATTGATGTCTTCATGTTTTCTAATAATATTCTTATAAGTTGTTGAATTTTACAAATGTTTGAATTTGAATGTTTTGAAGAATTTTAATTCCTATGGAAAAATAATAATTCAATACTTATTTAAAAATTTAGTTACTGATGTTTGCAAATAATTTTATAATTTAAGAAATTTTAAGTAAATGTAATAGAATGTTTTTTTGAGTATCTAATCATTTTTAGAGTGAATCAGAATATTCTTTAGGGTCAGGGAAAAAGTTAAAATCAATCAGGAAAAAGTCTGGAAATCAGGGAAAAGTCAGGGAAAAACAAAATTAATTTTTTGTGGCAACCCTGATAATTACTTTTGGGGTGCGGTTTTTTTTTTTTTTTTTTTTTTTTGTTAATTTGTGAGAGAAGAGCTTCTGCAAAAGCGTGCGCAAACATCGCGTTCTCATGTTTATCGCATCACGAATATTGCCGCAAGAAATGTCTCTGTTACATAATATATCTTCGTTTTTGCAATAATGTGGTGTACCATCAACTAAACTGGTCCTTTTTGTTTATTCACACAAACTTTAAATTAAAACCATATTCTTACTCAAATAGAATGAAGAAAAATTCATCATAAACTCTGTCAAAATATTGACAACCGCAAAAAAATTTCGAAAGTGATTCCTAATTTTAGGCATCTTATTTGTAAATTCAAGTCGATGGAATTTTAAATAAGATGAAATTATTGCTAATATTTCAGTGTAATTTCAATATTCTGTTGAGTAAATTTTTTCCCTCCTGTCGCTTTTTTTACGTCTATAACACAGTATGCAGTAAAAGACAGTAGAATCAAGTGCGAATAGGAAAATTATTTAATTTTTATAAGTTCATAGAATTAAGAATTTAATCAAATGATGATGAGAGAAGATATTGAATTTTTTATTTTATGAACATAATTATAAATACTGCGCGAATGAATGAATATTTGAAATAATGAATATTTTAATGAACAATAATTGATGTGCGGCTAAATAGTCAGCAATGACAAACAATAAAATGTGAAAAACGGTGTTTAATGTCAATGACCGTAAATTTGAAATGGTGGTAATGGTAGCTTCCACCTTCTATCAGTGTGTCGTAAGAAAACGGGATTATGAGGCTTGTAACGCGAGACTGTTGTTAGTCACGGCACGGTAATATTATTACGTGTGTTTACTGATTGTGTATTCATAAGTTTCGCGACACATAATTCTCGCACTCGTCTCAATGAACAGATGACTTTCGCCCGGACATACAGACAGTAATGATGCCACTCTTTCCATTTATACATTTCTTGATTAAATTCATAAATGTTTCTCTCTTCTTTTTTTTTTAGATATAATATGTCTTTTAGTTCTAAACTTTTTTTTCTTTTCTAAAGAATTAAGAAATTCGATGAGAAAGAATTTTTAAATTCTTTTAGTTTAAAGAATTCTAAAATTCTCGATTAATTCTCGTTGGGGTAGATTACGAAGGGTTGCCACAAATCAGGGAATCCGGGGAAAAATCAGGAAAACTAGAATTGGTCAGGAAAATCAGGGAAAAGTCAGGAATTTTTATTCAAATTGCTGGAAAAAATTTAATTTTTAGAATTTATAAGAAAATTCTGAATTTTTGTGAATTTTCTGTTTGCCTTATAAACTATGAAAGTACAACACAAATTCTAATACAAAACCTTCAATTTTTTCTATTTCTCACAATAATTTTATTTTAAATATCTTAATTCTTTAAGAACTTAAATCTTTCAAAATTAATTGAATTTTAATAGAGTTGCGTTTACAATTTTCGTATAATTAAATGAACTTCAAAATGTTGTAATTTGAAATTTTATAAAATTTCAATTTTGAATGAATTTCATAATAATTTTTAAAGAACTTGGATTCTAAAATTTTTGGATTTTTAAAAATTTTAATAATTCAAATTCTTTTGAAATTATATACATTTTTAATATATATTTAATAAATTATTAAAAATAATGGGTTTATAAATGAATTTTAGTTAAAAACACTGAAAAAATTGAGTTTTGGAGAACTTACAAATTGTAGAAATTCAATTATTTTCAAAAGTAATAAAATTCTTCACAGAAATTCATTTATGTTCAAAAATTAAAAACAAATCTCGTCAAAATTTCAATTATCTTTAAAAATAATAAATTTCTTCTCGAAAATTTAGTTATTTTCAAAAATTTTAATAAAATTCTTGTCAAAATTTTCGTCAATTCAATAATTATTGTCAATATCTATTATTTTAAGAAAATTTTCCAAATTAAGAATTCAATTATTTAAAAAAAATTTTTGATAAAATTCTAAGCAAAAATTCAATTATTTTCATAAATAGTAAAAAATTTTCATAGGATTTCAAATATTTTTAATAAAATTTTAAATCAATTTCTCGAAAAAT